TGAAACCTGGTGTTAGCATTAAACAATTATTTCAAAACTTTGAGCGTATAGTTGAAGAGAAGCATTACAATGAACTAATTTGTGAGTATGAATCCCGACATAAGCTACCAATATTGAGATATGAGATGTCTCCCATCTTGATACAAATGGAAAAAATTTACACTCATCCTATATTCACCCTTTTCCAACAAGAATTTACTTCATTCTTGGCATGTTGCATTTCAGAGAAGATTGAATCTCCCTACTATATTTGAATATATCATCACTACAGTCAGCCAAGAGAAATCATGCAGAGTATCATTTGATAATGTCTCAAAATCAATTTCTTGCACCTGTAAAAAATTTGAAACATTTGGTATGCTTTGTTTCCATGCATTGAAGGTATTTGAAGCAAATGATGTCAAGGCTATTCCTGAAAAATATATCCTTAAGAGATGGACAAAGGAAGGTCGTTATGGCATTTATAAACAATTTCATAGGAAGAGAGATTGAGGGAGATCCAAAAGTTGCTACCACACGACGATACAGACAACTTGCTTCTAAAATGATTAGACTTGCATCAGAGGTATCTAGTTCAGAAGAATACTCGACATTAGTGGATGAATGTTTAAATGTTATATCGTCAAATCTCATACCTTTGATTACAAACACAACATGTTGATAGTCACACTGACAATGATGCATCTACATCGATGATCAATGATGATCCAATCCCAAAAGGTTTCAAGCACTGACCAAGCTTAAAGAGGAATATATATAAATGATTCAAAAGTTAGGTTGAACTACAAGGAAAAAGGAAAAGAAATGGGATAAAGAGAGGTCAATCACAAAATCAACATGCTGAGGTATATATATCAATCAATTTGTCAATGCATTAATTTCAATTTTTATTCCTTATTAACCATATGGTGTTTATTTGGTAAATATTTTAAGAATATAAACCCACTCCTTCCAAACCTTGTGACATACATTGTTCAGCACCTTCATCTTATCATCCTCCTCAAGCTTTGAACAACCAATTCAGTTTCCCTACATTATTGACCGTAAGTTCATTAAATTTTAAAATGAAAATTTAATTCTTTCTCTCACTTCGTTGTATAATTTTTTTTATGGATTTATATTTTCTTTCAAGAACCTTTAGATGACACAACTCGTTCAATCCTTGATTAATAATTAAAAGTTATATCTTAATCATTTTATTTTCTTTTGCCAAAACCAATTATGTAAAAGACAAATGTATTTTGTTTTCAGAAGTGGTGTATCCATGTCTGTCAATTTAAATTGTTATTTTTTTAGTTTTCCTGCATACTCGCTTAAGCACTCAAATACTCGCTTAAGCTTACAATGTTCGCTTAAGGTAACTCTTTTTGCTTAAGCTAGTATTGGATAGGTTAAGCTATTCTATAACAGCTTAAGCTCTTTTATCAGTCTCAAAGAGCATTCTCTCTGCATTATTTTTATGCAATTTTTGCTCAAGTTAAAGTATATCCGCTTAAACTATTAGTTCATCTGCTTAGGCCAAGCCATGCACGTTTAAGCGAAAGTGTAATATTAGGAGGTGTGCTCTCTTTTTTTAGGCTGCTATTAAGGTATCGCTTAAGCTCATCATTTACTCGTTTACAAATGTATGCTTAAGCCCACAACTCACCAGCTTAAGCCAAATCAAGCACACTTAAACCAAATTTGTAATCTTGGGAGGTAGGTTTTCTGTTATTTTTTGCTTAAATGAAATGCGTACATTTTAGCTTAAGTGCATCAGGTACTCACTTTAGTTCATTGTCTCGCTCTATGCATATATTACTTGTTTAAGCCTTCATGTGCTTAAGCTAGTGCATATGAACTTAAGCTAAAATTGTAAAAATCACTTAAGCCTTATCAAATTGACTTAAGCAAACAAAGAACTGCACGTACAGTTCCCATATCAACTGTACTGGATCCGTATCCCACAAAATGATGGTCACATTGAATTAACTTTTTTTTTCCCCCAAGTTTTAAGAAGTTTAACTTATTTGATTGGATCAAACTAAAATAAATCCAAATTTAATTTGGATTTAAATTTAAAAGTCAAACTTAGATAGATTTGAGTTAACAACATGACTTATTGAATTTAGTAAATCTTATAAATGTTTAAAAAATATTTTTGTATTGATAATAATACTATATTACACTAAACAGGGCTAGAATTAAAAAATTAAATGAATAAATAAATGATGAAAATGTTAAAGTTTAAATGAATATTAACTAACACTAAATAAACTTAAAAAATTGTCTAAAACAATATTTTATTTATTTGATATAATGTATGGAGTTTTAAAATTTACATCAACTTAAACTTAAATTTAAAATTAAAAAAAATTAGAAATAAAATTAACTAGAAATTTAAATGTTAAATGTAAAAGAAGTGATAACTAGATTAAGAGTAACTCTTAAAAACACTATTATTCAAAGGGGATTCAAAGTTGTGTGTAATTTTACATCATTTATAAATTCACACGGTTAATTAATTAAAATATACTATAAATATAATCTTTATTTTATATAAATTATTACAGAAGTCAACGATTATTGTATTTATAATTGAACGACAAAATAAAAAAATCTATTGTATTTAAATTAAATTATTCAAGTTTAATATATATATATATAAGCACTTTGAAAAACAACTGAACTAATTCTATTATTTATAACAAACAAATTTACGATCGTGATTTGTTAGTCTTGAGTTTGGTTCACCTATTTTAACTCAAGTTGGATAGATCATTAAGAATGACAAAATTGCTTAATTCTAAAGGCTCAAATTTAATTTGAATTATTAAGTAATTAAGTTAGAACATCCTACACCCGATGCCGATGTATATGAATAAGGTGATAATTTTTTGGCCTCTACGAATGGCGTAAGCAGTATCCGATGCAAGGATTGAATTCCTGAATGTTAACAACCCTATGAAAATGTTAAAGAAAATGAGAAGTTTGTGTAAAATAAAATAAGTCGCCGACCTTGCCTCGTCTGCGTCAATGAACACTCAGCCATTTTATCAAAAAGTAAAATTTAAATGCCACCGCACACGCACACTTGTTGCGGCCAAATGACATGATGATTTGCAAAGGTTTCTTCATACCTCAAATGTTATAAATGTCAAATGTCAATCAATAGTACTCGGGGCCAACACTATGGTTTTTATTATTTCATAGCTGTAGCTTAAATATTTTTTTAACTTTAATAAAAAATTTACCATATAAGAATTATTATTAAAATTTTATTAACTATAGTTATTATTCTTTATTAATTTATATATTGATCAAATCAATAATTTATATGAATTAATATATACAATCTTAAACCATAAATAAACTTTAACTTAAATATGAGTTTTCAATGTTTTTTAAATTCAGAATTCTTTTATTTGGTAGCTATTTTTTATTTTTCTAAATAAACCCATTAATTCCTTTTTTGCTTAAACATTAATTTTTTAATTTTTAGTTAAAATACATATTTAATCTATGTAGTTAATATTTGTTTACATATTAATCTCAGCACTAAAAAAATTGTTTTAGTACTGTATGAATTTTTTTAATTGCGTTTTAATGCTCATTGTTATAAAACATAATCCCGCAATTGAACGGTTCCGTATAAATGAAACTCCGTTTAATCGAGTATACATTGGCTTAAACAATTCAGCTTTCTGCATTATTAAAGTGGAAGACGGTGAAGACGGAATAATGAAGTATATCAAAGTCAATTTTTGTTTTCATTGCTAGTTTACTTTTCTATCTCTGTTTCCTTTACAAAAGGTTTAGTCTACATTGTAGATATTTATACATTGAATTTTCAGCTCATATGCCATTATCTTTATTTTACATGGTGCCTATAATAAATTTGCAGGTTCACGCTGTGACTTAGCTTATTGTGTATAAAATATTTTGATTCTATTAATGAAAAAAAGAAGAGACAGACAACATGCAATGTGAGTAGCAAGTACCTGATATGCAACTCGAAGATGAGAACCATTGGAAACTGAACCAGAGAACTGAGTGGAGGATAAAGGCCCTGAAACAAATCGGAATAATAATGGTTACAAAAGAACACGAAGGAGAAAAAAGGAAAGGGAGGAAAAAGCGTTGGCTACGCGAAAGAGCGAGTGGATCTCTTGAAACAACGTCGTCTGGGGTGGTTCGCAAGTTGACAGAGTGGGAATTGTTGGTGAGATATTGATTGTGAGCCCTGACGGTGAGGTTATGGTGCCGTTTAAGAAGTAAGAGGTTGAGGGAAATAACGGTTCTAACAGCGGGGATTGACTGAGGGAATGGGGATGAGGATGGGCAATGATTTGCGACACTGCCATCGGTGAGAGACAGTGTTTGGTAATATTCAGTCTTCCACGTCTTCCATTTCAATAACGCATAAAGCTAAAATTTGCTTAAGCCAATGTATATACGAATAAAATTTGCTTAAGCGAAATTTCATTTAGACTAAACTAATCAGCTGCCAGATTTGTTAACGCGATGATAGAGAATAAAATATGACATAACACTTGTGTTTGTATATAAGTATTAAAATGTAATTTTAAGTACACGAAGTATTTTATAAATAAATGTTACATATAAAGATTAAATTTATAATTTAAATTTAAAAGTATATATTTTTTATTTATATTATCAATTAATTAATTATATAAAAATAATTTTTTTATATATGTTTCAAATATAAAATATTATATACTATTTTTTAATATAGAATACACTTTAATAAAAGAGATGACAAAGCAAGTAAAAAAAAATGAAACATGATAAAGCTTGAAGAAAACAAAAAGACAATAAAATTAATCATAATTAATTTTGCCATGAATAAGATGTTTAAAAAAAATGAAAGATAAAAATATTAATAACTAATTTTTAAAAGTTAACTTTTGTTAAATAATTTTTTAAAATTAATTTTTAAAATTTCCAGACGCCTTTTATTTTTTATTTATTAAACAATTATACAAGTTTGCGGGTTAAGTCAATAAGTTAGTAAATAATATTCATGCTACCTTTACAAGGTGCTAATAATATGTGACAACTGTGACCTATAAACTTTGTCTAGACGAGGTGGTGTCATTTTACTTTGATTTATGGGAGATAAAATTGAACCTCAATGGAATACAATTCTTTACAACATAATGACAATGCATATTTGTGATAAATATTCAATCCACCATTTACTGCCGACAATAGAAGAAAACATCAAAGTTTCCTGATTTATGTCTACAGGCTTCGGACCAACCAAATCATCCAACAGCAGAATTGACAATTTTCAAAACTGTAGATGCCAAAGCAAAAGATCTAAAGATGTTAGTCTTCAAATGCACCACAATTATCGCTACAACCTACGACACCAACCCAACATCAACTCCAACCTTTTGCACAACACCTTAATTCACCAAATCCAGTGGTCCAGAGCAAACATAATAATGTAACCCGTGCCATTGGGAAAGAAGGCTCTATGGGCCTCTTCTTTTACAATAATAAATATACACTCTTCCCACGTTAGAGGCATCAGATAATGCAAAACGACCCATTTGCACATTGTTTGTGGTACTGCTCAAGAGGAGCATACTAAATCTTACTAATCCTCCCCCATTGAATTGCAACTTCACATTGTACAAGGACCATATAACTCTATACAGCCAGAGCTTCTTGCCCTGAAAAATAAAGTCCTTGCTGCCAAAATATCAAGTGCTCCTCCCAATATCTTTGCCTGGGAATTCTCCACTACGAAAGGGAGCCGCTGCAGCAGTAACATCCAGACTGCCACCAATAGAGGTGATGAGTGCCGATAAGCCTCCCCCAGGAGGGCCCCCAGCAGCCATCCCCAATCCAAGAAAATCAAGGGTTGTCTGCTTTGGACCAAACATGGCAGGAGTCCCCATCATCAACTCCTTTAGTCCAGAGCTGCCATCACAGGGAAGCCCGAGTCCAAGCCCTGCAGGAACCGAGGCACTTTCTGGTTCCACTGGCTGCTGACCCCATTGCAAACTATCTTGCTGACCTGATGAGGTTGGTGCAGAAGATGATACTATGCCTAACCCCCGAAGCAAAGAAGCATTTGTTGCAGCTGCACCCATTTGAGCAGCTTTCTGCAGCAATGCAGTGGCAGACATGGCTGGTTGTGGTGGTGGGGCATACTGACGGCGCTCTTGCCCTCCCGTTCCAAAAATGGATGACCCGTGATTGGTGGCAAGGCACAGGGAAATGGGCTCAGTAGATGAAGGCCCTGGGAGGTCTGCTGGATGATCTGGTCGCCCCATGGCCCTAATTAGGTCAGGGAATGCTGGTGCTTGAGATTGGAGGCTTCCGGTTCCAGATGCTGTTGATGAAGCAAACAGGCTTGCAAATACGCTGCTGCTAGTACCACCATTGCTGTTGCTTGTTGAGCTGGTGCTACTGCTGCTACAGCTCCCATTCATAACAGTATTTGCCTGTGGTTCCTCAATGATTTGTGGGGAATTTTCTGGCAACTCTGAAAGATCAGAACAAGGGAAAAAGTAGCAGAAATATTAATAATTAACAATGATTAAAAAAAGAATGATATTATTTTAGATTATTGATAATTAAGGAGGAGTGAAGAGCAAAAGCAGCCACTCAAGATGCATTGACTTGTAAAGTTTGTGCCTTTTCTTTTATGTTAAAGTTGAGAAGAAAAGAACAAATAATGGTTTGCTTTCTCAAATCCACTCCTCCTTCACACCCCAAAAAACAAAGCTTTTATTTCTCTTTTTAGCTTTTGAATCTTTTGAGTTTCTTTGTCCACAGCTGCATTAGTTTACATCCCACAGTTCCGAAGAACACCTTTTTCGCGGCTTATTTTTATAATTTCATTACTTAATTAGCTATACGAATCTCATATCACCAACTCTGATGTTGTGAATATACACAACAAAGAGATGAAAACAAAGAACGATATCAGACAAAAACTAGTAAGCTTCAAGATCACAGAGAGAGAAAAACACCACCAACAAAAACAACAACAGTTTTATTTGTCTAGTTTAACCATATCAAACAAGACAAAAGAAACCACCCAGAAGATTTCAACGTTTTCCAGATTCGGATATTATCTACCTGGATTTTGTGTCTGCAAAGCAGCCGTCATGGGTACAACACTGTTTGACTGAGAAGAAACTGCAGGGGCCGGCGGTGGCGGTGGAGCCGCCGCCGCCGCCGCCACTGGAGGTGATGAATCACCAGTAACAACTTTCGAATCTGACTCTGAACTAGCCTTTGGAGCAGTCTGAGTCTGAGATCTTGCACTCTCCTCAGCTAAAGCATCACAAAAAGCCCTATGCGTGATGAAGCTATCCCTCCTTCAAAAAAAAAAAAAAAAGAACTTTCACAAACCCCAAATCTCCAAATAGAAACAGTGTTAGCGTGACAAAGTAGAAAGCCAAAAAGGAAAAACCTCGAAAACAAAGTCCCACAATCGCATTTATACTCTCTGGTACCGCAAATCTTGGAGTGAGCTTTCCAATCCGATTGAACAGCATATTTCTTGGAGCACTTGTCACATTTCCACTTCTTCTCGCCGTGCTTTCTGCAGAAGTGCTTCTTAATCCCAGTGAGATCGCCCAAAGCTCTAGAAGGATCGTGATGAACACATGTTGGTTCGGGACACACGTACACCCTCTTCCTCACCTCTTTGCTTGACCTCTGCCTCAGCTTCCATGGTAGATTGTGACCCCGTCGATGAAGCTGAAGATTCTGATCCCTCTGAAACCCTTTGTTGCAAATTTCACACACGAATCGGTTCGTGGCCATTAGGGTCTTAGGAGACAGAGCAATCACCTCTGCATCTGGATCTGAATAACCCCCACAAAAAAAAAGAAAATCAAATAAAAAATTTTAAGAAAGAAGATGATGAAGATGGTAGATGAATTCCTTTATACCTGGCATTCCTGGAAGGTTTCGCTTCTTCTTTGTGGTTGATTTTGGAGGCACTGTCTGATTGCCAGAGGAAGAAACGCTAGCTTCCCCTGAAGCTGTTGAAGCATTATCCAAATCAACAGGCATGGGAACTAAAACTCGATAGTTTCTTCCAAATAAGAGAGGGAAAATCTTAGAGCATTTACCCTCACAATTCTAAGGGGACAAAGTTTTGATTTTTGCTCGCTATTCTTTTATGGGTTTTTTTTTCTAGGGTTTCTATTCTCCTTTGCTATATCTACCAGTCAACCTGCAATTTTTTTTTCACTTCCTTTTTCTCACTTACCAACCACCTACCAGCTCTGATGATGGGGTCTCTGACCAAAATTCACGTTAATCGAAGAACTCAAATGATTAAACCCAATAGGGTTAGTGCCTTGAAAATCTCCAGCCAGCGAGTGAACTTGGATCCAATCCAATAAATAAGGTTAAATTTTTGGGAAGAAGTCGTAGAGGCAAAGAGATTTGGATGGGATGAGTGTAGGTGGCAGCAGCGCAGTGAGAAAGAAAAGGTGGAAGTAGAAGCAGAAGCTCCTCGATCTCCTTCTCTAGTTTCCAAAGGTGTAACTTTTTTTCATCAGAAAATGAGGTGATAAATGGGAAAGTCGCAGGACAATTAAAATTACTACTAATAAATGTTAAGTTTGATTAATTTGTAGTAATGAGGAGGATTGTGTAAGGTGATGTCAGTATTTTTTTGGGCTGGGTCGTAGAGATTAGTACAATATAAGACGAAAGAGAGAGAGTGGAACTTTCTCTCTCGATGCTTCATCCAATGGTTCATTTGCAATCGGAACACAGCACACTGTTGGACGAGTGTTTACTCCAATGTTTGTCGTTTTGCGATTTGTTTCAATACGTATTCTGTGAGAGCCGACAGCGACAGGCCATTCAGAGTTTTGGGGAATACAATAAATCAGCCATTTTTTAAAAATTACTTTAAGAAAGAACGTTGAATAAAAAAAAACTGTTGAATCACTTATTGAATAATTTAAAATAAAAATGATAAAAAATATTATTAAAATAATTTATTATACTTTTGATCAAAACTTTATTCGTGAATCAGTGTATATGATATTCAATGACAAAATTCAAAAACAAATTATTTTTATTCAATACTTTTTATTTGTAATCTCAATATTATTTTTAGATTATAATATCGGTTCTCGTACTTTTCAAAGAAATAAAAAAGTAAATTAATTAATACATAGTTAATTTTTAAAATGATTTTTTAACATTATTAAAGATATATAATAAAAAGATATGTATAATAAATTTTTATATTATATTATATTATGAATAAATTTATTATTTTGTACTATGTATTCTTAAATGTATATTAAATTAATTTTAAAAATATATTTAATAAAATTTAATTATTAATTATGCATATAAAAAGTCAAATAACTTTTAGTCTGTAATAAAACGAAAACTTTTCAATGTTTTGAACCACTAAGGATTTGCCACGTTCCCTTGGTATCCTCCTATTCACCATTTTGATTGCTGCACTTTTTTTCGTTTTACCATTTTAATTTGTTTTTTAGGGGATGAGAGAAGATTGGAGCATTGCCTGTTAATGGCTATAGTCCACCTGGCTTCAGCTTGTATCGCACACAACACAAGTAATTAATTTGTTACTTCATCAGAGCAAAAAATGTTTTACTAATTTTGGGCTCCTACATGTGCCGTCAATATAGAAATCAAATATCATTTTTCTTTATTTTTCATTAATAATATATTTAATAGCTCCATGCTCATCCGTTGCCCTAACCATTGACAAAACAGCTTTCTTGTGAACTAGAAATGTAAAAAGGTAAAAAGAAATGGCCTCCATGAATGCTCCTTGATTGTAAAAACGTACACACCACATGGGTTTCTGCCCATAGCTCCTAATACATCTTGATCTTGGCTTTGGAGTGATAGTTTGAGATCAGGGAGCGTGTTGTGTACACTCTGTACAGTGTGAGAAGCTTTCTGTGGCCAATAGGTAGCTAGCTGGCCACCACATTAGATCAATATCAAACACTATTGTATTATTTTGTGCATGATTAATCAATATTCATGAATCCATTCGCTACTCGTTGACATAATGACATTGTTTACTAATTGTAGTTTGGCATCATTCAGTTTAGATGACGAGCCATTCAAAGAATCAATACTTGGGTATCTCTTAGAATAAGGCTTACACCTAATCAATCACGAATTGCTACCTTGTTTCCGTTGGTAGGTTACTCTACAATGTACTAAATAGCATTTTATTTTATTTTTGTCTCATTGTTGCATGTTTAACTACGAGAGGGCCACTTATTGTAAGAATAAACTAATTAATTTCATCTTTAAGTTCAAAGTTTAAGGCTCATCTATTGCGGTCTTGTCCCTCCAAACAAGTAGCCGAGAATGCGATGTAACATAATCTCAATTCTCTAATAATTGAATGCTATATCCACACTTTTCCTTATGTCATATAATTCTTTGTTTTTTTAAGGAAGAAATAAACCTATAACTTATTAATTTTATTGTCATTACAAGTTTAACCATGCGATCTAATGATATTAGAGCATCAAATTTAATAAAATATTAATTTAAATAATTTCATTTAAAGTATAATTCAATAATTATTGTTTAATATTTTAAAAATATATTATATATTAAAATAAAATAATGAATTACTTTTAAAAGTATATGAGATTTTGTAAATTTATTATTTATAAATATAAAATGAGATTGCTAAAATTTACCTTTGACAAAAATAATTGATTTTCATAAAAAAATATTATCTCATTTTATACATATTTTGATAATGTATCTAGTAATAAAATATTTTTTTATACAAGGGAAACAGATATAGATTCTAGGTCATACATGAACAAAATTCAAAAATGGAATTCACGTTATACATAAAATAAAAGGAATTTTTTACATGAAAGTGAAAAGAACAATTATAAATAATTAAATATTATCATGAATTATTAAAATTAAAAAAAGTTATGTGAGATTTTTTTATGATACATAATTTTTCGAAGTGATTATATAACTTTAAAAATGTTTAATTTTTACCATGTGTATATATTAGGTGTCAAATTTAAATAATTATATCATTAAATGACTATTTATACAATACAATATTTATTAATGAAATTGTTCAATTGAAATTCTTATTAAATAAATAAATCATATTGAATTGCATTTAAAAATAAAATAAATAAATACTTTATTTTATTACTTTATTTTAAATTATGTCATGTTATTAAATTATTTAAAAAATATTAACAGTTAAATATAATGTTTAAATAATGTAAAATTTAATACACATAATAATAAAAATAATATTATATAATTTAGCAATTAAAAATTGATAATAGTAATAATAAATCTAGATTATACAACTATATGTATATAATTAAAAATAATATTTTTTAAGTTATACGATCACTTTTTAGACTTTTTAAAAAAGTTTATTAGTAAAAGTTTGTCATAAGCTTATTTGGCGCTTGTGAGAAAATTTTATCAAATTTTTAGAAAAATTGTAACAGTTCTATGATTTTTGTTCATATAATCTTTGGTTGGATAATGTTGAACATTATGAAATCTATTTTAACTTAATTAATCTTTTCCTCTTTTTATATTGCCAGCCGGCTTGCCCCTCCCCATCCCCTCCAAATGGCAGAGCGTAAGAAGGACGACAAAATAACCAGATATCTTCGGAACATATAAACTTATATAATTATAAATTTTTTTTTAATATTTTTATAATTATTAATAAAATTAAATTAAAAAATGAGAGAAACAAACAGTCCATTACTTATGTCGTAAATGCAACTTCCACGGCGAAGGGGTTTCAATTGTTTCATTCACAGCTTCATGTGATGATATCAACAGCAAATCACAAATTTATATAGGAAAGTACATATTCTAAAACCTTGAAATAGGTTTAATTAAACAAGTGGCACAAATATTATGATAAAGCCACATTCATGGTATATTTAGAGGCATGATAAATGTTGAAATGACATGTAACTTACTCTCAACGAAGTTAATGAAATTTCTTTCTTACTTGATTATGAAAAAAAAAAAAACCTTCAAAAAAAACCACGAAAGAAAATAATATATCATTGTAAAATAAAGTGACGGTTCATTGTTAAAAAGAATGATTAGTTTCAGATCTCGCAAGTATATTAAAAATGTATTATACGATATTAAACAAAAATAATTGGTCGTATAAAATGTCCATAATGAACACGTTTCCAGCTGGGACATCTTCCCTTTGCAGAAGCAAGTTATTATGACAATCTTGACTTCTCTAAACTTTGGGGTGAGTTTTTTCAATTTCAGTGTCTTAATACGACGTGTGCTTCAACTATTAATATGTACCGCTACAGAATAACGATGCTTAAACTTTTAACTTTTACAATTTAGATTACCTGTACATCGAATTAATCACAATTCCAAATATTATATTTTCAATCAAGATTAGAAGTGTTCGGATTCAGTGCTACAACTTTCAAATCGGTTTAATTGTCCTTTTCAACTATTTTATTAACCCAAGTCCATGGTATTTGGCCCCGTTCTAGTGAACAGCAGGTAGCGGGTGCTATATGATGCCCTTGACATGCGCCCTTTCAAATTTAATGTAAAATTCATCATTATTAATCTTGCGCACTGTGATTAACACCTAAGCAAAAGATTACGAATATTTATGAATATTCATCAGTTTAAATTAGGCAAGTTTAACGATAAGGACGAGGTAGGGAGAGCTTAATCTTGAAATTTTGGATTAGAACCAAAAAGCCGGCACATATTCTATTTTGGTTATTCAATATTCTTTTTCTCCTCCCTGCACTGTCCATCATGGTTAGCATTGACTTGGATAGCATTTTCTTTTCTTATTCAAACAATGCATTATTTTTGGCATAAATATGGGACCCTTTATTTGTTTTTTAGGTTTTCAACTTCTCTCACTACACTCAAGAGGGGACCAATCACTGTCTTTTGAGTCAGCACCAAACATAGCTATTTGCACATTCAATTACGCATTTAAGCGGATGGGATACGTTTACAGAGAAGTAAATATCCAAATCCAATCATGCCAATAAAGTCCTTTTAGCATATGTGGTGGAATCGAATTATGGCATGAAACTATTTTTAGTAGAACGAAGAAGAATTAAGCCAGCGTCATTCTTTCAATTTTAATTTTGCTATTATTTTGTTTAGGTGGAGAATTCAAACTGTACAAGGAAATTGACGATGGTGTGTAAATGATATCTGATACGGGTACTCCTACCGCAATCACACAATGGTACTAAGAATGAATGAGACTTGCTTGAGTCTCACATGCTATTAATTGTAATGGTTTCTTTCAGACAGCACGCCATCAACTATTAGGAGTTGTTCTTTGTCATAATTGAATATGAGGAAATTTCCAAGTAAACGAAATTTATTTACGTACAATGAATTGTGCATAAGACTTATTATTTATTGGATAGAAAATTCTGAGCAGTTTATTACTCATATAAATTTAGCTAAAATTTTCAGAATTTACGTTTATATTGGCTTAATTGCATAAGATTTTTATGTTTATTCTATTTTAGTCTTCTTATTTGTTTTAATAAAGGAAATTTTGTTCATTTATTTAGTTTACATCCCATTTTTAATAGAAATAATACGATTTTTTTTCTTAACTAGAGCTTTATCACATTTAAGGACACCACTAAAGGGGAAGTAAGGTAAACCAATACATGAAGACTTTTTTTTATTGGCTTAGATACACTTTCTTCTAT